AGAGAGAGAGAGAGAGAAGAAAAAACTGTTAGGTATTCATTTTGGTTTAGGAGCATTGTTTAGGGCATTACTGAGATACTAATGGTGCGATGAACTGAAAATTTTGGGACCTTCTGGTATAACCATAAAGGTTGCTGGAATTCAAACTTGGCTCTGTCAACTGTGACTTTGGGCAATCTTAATCTTTCAGTATTTCCTCTTCTCTTTTGAAATACATTTAAAAAAAGTAAGGTTTTTATCATAGGGTATGTGCACTTGCTGGAGAGACAGAGACAGTGAGAAGGAAAGTGAGAAATCACGCCTCCTCAGGGGGAATAGCCATGCCACAATCCCAGGGTCTGGGATTTGAACTGTAGTTAGCCATGTCAGAATCCAGCACCTCAACCACCATGCCACCTGCTGGCCCCAAATTTCGTCTTCTTAGAGTTGGAATTAGGATAGTTTTTACTTTATAGGGCTTTATGAGGACAAATTGAGTCAATGTACATATGGTGAGTCTTTTTTTTTTTTTTTAAGAGTTTATTTTTGCTATAGGGCGCGTGCTTTCGCCAGACAGACAGAGACAGACAGAGAGATGGAAAGTGAGAAATCACCCCCCGGGGGGGTGATGGCTACCCCAAAATCCCTTCTCCTCCATTCTCTTCTGGGGATCTTGGGCATGCACACACACATGCCCAGCGTGAGGTTTTAAGCCACCGGGTCCGGGACACGAACCGCAGTCGACTACATGGAAGTCCAGCTAACTGCTGGTCCCCATATGGTGAGTTCTTAATAAATGTTAGCTTCTATGGGGCCACTAACAGATGCGCCCACTGAAGTGCAGATTTGCTAGTGCGGGAGTTCAGCTCCAGCATTTAAATCTGCCAGATAAAACAGGAGAGAAACCCATTTAAGAAACCAGATGCCACTTGAGTACTCCAGGTGAGTACATTCTAATCCAGCACCTGAAATTTTCAGAATCACTGCGCGTATGTGTTTTTAAATCATAATCTGTTGACAATTGAGACTAAACTTTATTGTCCAATCTAATCATTCTTTTCCAAAAGGAGGCAGCTAGCAATCCTTTCTAACATTGTACTCTAAGGGAGGTCTCTGGAGGTCAAAAGGGAACAAAAAAATCAGATTTCTTATATTAAAAAATAGCCACGATAGTTTTCTCTCCAACAGGAATAATTATTATTGATTTACAGTGTAATAGCAGCAAACAGCTCTGGTGATTGGTTAAATGTCTTCACTTCACTGGGACCATTAATCAATCTTAGCAGCTATTTATTGCTTAGCAGACTACTACGCAATAAAGATAAGCCTGAAATCAACTCCCACAGTAGCTTTGACAGGCAAAAATTAATATTTAATGTTGCATTACTAGCTGAGTTCAGATTGGGTCTCCTTTGCTCTGCAGTTGGTCAGCCATAACCAGCATAGCCATGAAAAAAGGCTCTGAACAACTTTCATCTGCAGAGGCTCCTGACATACTGTGATTTCAGCTTTTGTGGAAAGTCGAAATCTGATTCTGAGTTGAGATTTGAGTATCCTGCATTCTATGAATCTGATAAAATATTCTGTACATATAAATTACATGAATGATGATCATAATTGCTGTTGTCACTGGAAGCTTCATGAACCAAAATCTTTTTGTTGTTGTTGTTAGAGGTTTTTGCTTCAGGGTGCGTGTGTGCTCACTGGAAAGAGATAGATCAACAGAGAGACAGAAAGTGAGAAATCACTCCCCCAGAGGAGATGGCCATGATGCAGTGCCTTCTTCTCCATTCTCTTCTTGGGATCTTGGGCATGCACCATATGCGGCCAGTGTAATTTTCAAAGTCACTGTGTTGGGGACTTGATCCATGATCAACCATGTGGAAGTTCAGAGACTTAACTGTTACACTATCTGCTGGCCCTTACATTCTTTATGGCAGAGGGTGCAGGGTCACATAATACATATTTGATCAGAGATGAAACTAATTATGAAAACCAAGAATAAAGGGATATATTCTGGTTAAGGTGTCTTTTTTTTTTTTAAAGAATTATTTTATTATTAATTAATTAATTATTTTAAAAATTTAAGCTGAGAGAGGAAAAGTGAGAAAGCAAGCCACTAGGTCCAGAACTCGAACCATGGCTGGCCTTGTGGGAAACCAGCATAGCCAGCACACCACCTGCCAGCTTCTCTCTCCCCTTATTATTGTTTTCCATAGGTATCTCTTTTATTTCAGCTCTATCTCACAATGATCATTCCTCATTTTAATTGTATTTGATTATTTGGGATAAATTAGTCATAGAGATGGAATTGAGGAAGCTCAGAAAAAAATAATGGAAAGAATAGATTATTTTCCTCTATTCTTCCTTTTTAAATCCTTGTTATTTTTTTCCCTCCTGAGCCTAGGAAAATAATACTTACAATGATTTTCTTTGGTTTTCTTAAGAGTACTCATCTTGGGGGCCAGAAGGTGGCATAGAGATTAAGGTGCTGGATCCCTCATGGCCAACCATTCTGTGGTTTGAGTTCTGGACCTGGTGGCTTGAAAATCATGCTGTGTGCATGCCCAAAATTCCAAGAGAAGAATAGAAGAGAAGGGGTTGTGACATGGCCATCTCCCTTAGGGGTTAATTTCTTACTTTCCCTCTCTCTGTGTCTGTCTCTGGTGAGCACACATGCTTTATGGGAAAAAATACATGTTTTTTTAAAAAAGTATTCACATTAACAGCAATACAAATAGTGGTCAACAATCATTAAAGATGTGTATGTCTTTGCTATTGCTATGATCCTCTAACCATCTTATGATGTCATTACAGTTATTAGATGCATTTAACAGATGAAAAAACTAAAACTCAGAGAGGTTTATTTAGTAACTTTGCTCTAGATCACACAGGTAGCTGGGAGCAGAGCTGGGATTTGTCCAACATCTGGAGTTTGATCGAGCTTGGTTTCTAAATTCTCGATTTTCAAAAGTGTAGACTGTTATAAGTGCTTTGTATGAAATGATCTGCAAGTCACGTATAACGTTTCTTAAGTTCACATGAATAAATAAGTCACAGTGTTGCCTTAAAATGTCAAAACTTATCCATTTCGAAGTTCAAATATCAATTGTGAAGCCTTCCAATAGGGAGAGGATGATGAATGGAGTGGTATTTTTTAGCATCTGTGAAAACAATGCTTGTATCATCCATAGTGAATACTAAGATATGAAATGACAGTAATCTTTCAATGACAGTAATGCCTCTGAAACACAATGTATTAAAAGAAACAAAAGATCTTAAAATTACTGATGAAATGTCAACTCTAGATATCCTTCTTTTTATTAGATTTTATTTGATGGTAAGTCCTTGGCACCTCACATGATGAATTAGAATTGAGTTATTTAAATGCAATTTAAAAAAATTGTAGATGAGTCTTCAAAATAGGTGCCCTTACTGTCTCCTTTATCCATTGGTCAAGCTGTTAAAGCTCTGATTGTGGAAGTTGATAATATAGGAAAAAATATTGAGTATCAGTTTCAAGTTAAACATAAAACTAGTGAAAAAAAAAACTAATAAATTCTGGGGGTGATGTTTGAATGTTTTCCACTTGGCCTACACTCTGTGTTTCTACAGATATAACAACATAAACATGGCTGAATGCCATTGTATTCTAGCTCTTTCTACAGTGGGCCCCAAGGTTAGAGCAGCTATCAATCAGCCTTCCTAGGATCCTGACATAGCAGGCTCTGACTGCAGTAATTAAACATGCAGTGTCTGCCAGTGTTCATGTTAATAGAATGTCTTCTCTTCATGTTTGTAGGATGCTTTCCTTGTTTTATCAACCCGCCTGCCAGTCTCTCCTGTTTTCCTTCCTGTTTAATATGGACCTGAATCAACCTCTCTTCACCTACAGGTCATAACACATAAGCTGAACACCCCTAATGCACCAACACATCCAGCTATCAGGCTGCCCTGAATGAACTGATTCTCCTCTTGGCTAACTGAAGATTTGTGACACTCATGCTCTTGCTTTCCTGAGAGGCAAGAGGCAATCCTGGTGATTCCCACCAGGCTGCCGTGAGAATAGGAATGTCTTAATAACATAAAGTGATTTCCCCTTCTTGTTTCAGGTTCAATGGATCCAAATGACTTCCTGAGGGAGGCACAGATAATGAAGAACCTAAGACATCCCAAGCTCATCCAGCTTTATGCTGTTTGCACTTTAGAAGATCCAATTTATATTATTACAGAGTTGATGAGACATGGAAGTCTGCAAGAATATCTCCAAAGTAAGCTAAAGACTTATTAAAAGGGGAAAAAAGAGGAATTTAGTTTAGCTAGTCCTATAAATGCCAATTTAGCAAGCTTTCTATAACCCAAAGGATATTTACTATGTGTTATGTCTGTGAGAATGGATGTCCTAACATTGAATGCCTCAATTACTCTTCAATAAGATATATACTGTGTACTCAAAAGGAGGAAAAATATTTATGTAGTGCAAGAGTAAATTGTTCACAATAGATAGAGTACTGAAATCCAATGTGGGACACTGAAAAATGAATGTTTTGCATGTTTTTGTTTCCAGCACTAACTAGTTGAATAATATTGTCACGGACAAGTATTTTCGATGCCACAGAATTTGGGGACATGGAATACTTTCAAGGAAAGAGAAAAAGAGATATCCTGAGGTGTTTCTTTTTTTTTCCCTCCTTTGCTATTATTTAACAACATTATACTTGTAGGTATTAAAAATACTTTCACTGATAGGCAACATTAGAATTTTCAGAATAATAAGCAGAATTATACTATTTCATTATTCCTATGTGTACTTCTGGTAGTCAGAGAAGACTTAAGGGCGTTGTGAAAATTTGATGTTTATTACAAGTGAATCATTGAATAAATAACACTGCTATAATAAACATTAAAATGAAGTGGTCAAAGAAGTTGAACGCTTGTATTGAGAGAATACTTCAGCTGGAAAAAGATACTTTTCTCTAATTTCTTGAAATGACTAAGATTGATATAATGTAACATAAAGGGAGGTGAAGATAATGGAACAAAGGAAGATTTTAGAAAGATAAAAGTATTCTTATTTCAGGGCCACTAAAGCTGGTAATACAAAGTTGCCAAAAAAGATAAAAAATGAAGAGTACAATAAGGTCTGTTAAATGCTATTAAAAATAAAAATATACTGAGCACGCTTGCATAAAGATATCAAAATGAACAGCCTCAGAATATATTACTTAACAGAGAAAGAATAACCTTAGCCATTGATCCCTTTTGCTTCATTCCCAGGACAAGGTACAGGAATAATTCTGGGTCATATCTAACAAAAATGCTTTGTACAGGTCACTTGTAATATACATGTTGTAAAATATAATAGTCAATTTCCAGTCTTCAGACCTATTAGCAACATTTCATTTAATGTACATTCTTTCTTCCTGGAAACAGTTTCTTCATTTGCCTTCTAGAACATGTCACTCAATGGCTTTTCCTCCTTCCTTTCTTGTTCTCAATCAATGGGATCAACCTCATCTCTCAGACTTCTCAATATTTTGAAGTTCTCCAAGACTCTTTTGCAACATCATTAGTTCCCTTATTAAAATCATCTAATTTTATTGTTTGCATATCAGGGATTCTCCAAATTTTATCTCCCTCTAGAATTATCCAATTACCTTCTTATCATCTCTACTTGAACATTGTATCAATCTGGATAATGTAGGTATGTTGCATAACAAATAGTCCCTAAATCCCAAAGGCCCAACACAAGTGTTTCTTTTTTATACTAAATGTGTAAAATAGTTTGTCTGGAGGCTCTGCTCTTGTTATCACCCTGGCATGGGAAGGGGAATTAGACTAATTTCACCCCAGCTCTTGTAACTCCTGACCAGAAGGTACTGAGGTATGTTCTATACCCTTTCTAATTTGGCCAAATCAAGTCAAAAGAGGTAGGGAAGTATATCCTCTAAAGTGCTTGAAAGAAGAAAAAAAATGTGAACATCTCTAATTTTTTTTTCCTTTTTTTTTTTTTTTTTTTTATAGGGCACGTGCGCTCGCCAGACAGACAGAGAGAGACAGAGAGACAGAAAACGAGAAATCACTCCCCAGGGGGGATGGCCACGCCACAATCCCTTCTCCTCCATTCTCCTCTTGGGATCTTGGGCACGCACACACACGTGCCTGGCATAAGTTTTAAGCCACCGGGTCCAGGACGCGAACCGTGGTCTACTACGTGGGAGTCCAGTGACATAGCCATTACACTAACTGCTGGTCCCAGAACATCTCTAATTTCTACTACATATACTTACTAGATATCTTAAAAATACATGTCTAAAACAGATCTCCTTACTGTCTCCCCAGTAATCTGCCATTTTTATAGGAAGGCTTTCCTTCTCTGACGATGTCAACACTCAGGATAAATATTTGGGAGCCATTGCTCCCTCTCACATTCCACCTGTAACTAACCAGCAAATCCCATTGGCTTGCCTTCAAAATATATCCAGGATTTTACCTCTTCTCAAAGTTCCTACCCAGGTCTAAGCCATTATCAGCTTTGTCTTTTATTCAATCCCTTCTCCATTCTCCTCTCGGGATCTTGGGCACGCACACACACGTGCCTGGCATAAGTTTTAAGCCACCGGGTCCAGGATGCGAACCGTGGTCTACTATGTGGGAGTCCAGTGACATAGCCATTACACTAACTGCTGGTCCCAGAACATCTCTAATTTCTACTACATATACTTACTAGATATCTTAAAAATACATGTCTAAAACAGATCTCCTTACTGTCTCCCCAGTAATCTGCCATTTTTATAGGAAGGCTTTCCTTCTCTGACGATGTCAACACTCAGGATAAATATTTGGGAGCCATTGCTCCCTCTCACATTCCACCTGTAACTAACCAGCAAATCCCATTGGCTTGCCTTCAAAATATATCCAGGATTTTACCTCTTCTCAAAGTTCCTACCCAGGTCTAAGCCATTATCAGCTTTGTCTTTTATTCTGCTATAGCCTCTACATTGGCCTACCTTTTATGGTTCTTGTTCTTTTGAATCTTTTGTCAACACTGTATCTGGAGAGATTCAATTAAAATATAAATTAGAGCATGTCCCTGTTCAGCTCGACCTTCAATGACTTCCATTGGTTCTTTTCTCTGTATAATTCATAAAGTCCTGCATGACTTGGCACTTCATGACCACTCTGCTTGTCTTCAACTTTCCTCTTGTTCACTCTGTGTCAATTACACTGGCCTTCTCGCTTTCTGTCTTTATGTCTCTCTCTGTCTGTCTGGCGAGCGCATGCACCCTACAGTGAAAATCTCTCCAAAAAAAAAAAAAAAAAAAAGTAAAAAAAAAATTACACTGGCCTTCTTTGTTGTTTTTCCTACCCTTCAGGTACACTTTTGCCTCGAATGCTTTGCACTTTCTGTTTTCTTAATCTGAGATTACTTTTCTTTTGTTTATACACATATTCATTTCTCCTTTCCTAAAAGTCTTTATTCAGACCTTTCCATCTGGGTGAGTTCTTCACTGGTCACTCATAATTCAACAATGTATTCCCTTTCTACTGACTAGTCATATTTCTATTCCCTTCTTTCTGTGTTTTCTCCTAAGTTATTAGTTACTTTATACTGTATGACTTATTATTTATCATATTTTTAAAATTTTCTAAATCAACTCCATGAGGGCAGAGGTTTTTCTTCATTTTAGTGTTAGAGCAGTGTCTGGCATCTAGAATACATGTACTAATTATGTGTTGACTGACTGGATAAACAGATGATATCGGGGCCTTGCTGAACCTACTATAATGGAGATTTGGATCAAGCTTATTTTGACACTCTTGGTATCAGCTTCAAAAGATTGTTAGTACCTTGCATTAAGGATTTTTGTGACTTGTTGATGTGGTTTACTCTGTGCTGTGTTTAAAAACTGCCATCTCCTTGCTTAGGCTATCAGAATCAAATTTATAAGGCCTTCATTTGTAAGGATACTTTGTAGCCATCAAGAGTCATGAAGATGTGCTCATAACACACAATGCCTTCTCAGTCAAGAGGGTATAAATTCAGAGTTGGACAGTAGTGCAGCAGTAAAATGCAACCTTCCTAAGGGAACTCACATAGGAAGGTTCTCGGGTCACATTCAGAGACCTCCCCGAGTATGCTGGGCACACATGTGCCCTGATCTAGGGTTAGCTGAGGCTGGAGGTAGATTCACAGCATTGAACCCTGTCGGGGGTGCTGTCTCTCTGTTTCTCTTGCTTATGGAAGAAATAAATACATTTTTTAAAAATGGTGTAAATTCAATAAAGTAATCTTAAAATAAATCTGCTACTCTCAAGCAGTCCATTATGACAGCCTGAAAGACTTCTGGGTAATAGAACATAAATGAAAATATTTCCTTGCTGCAGATGTAAATAGTCACAGGTTTGTGAACCTTTATATCGGTTTTGATAGATGGTGGTTATATTAGAAGTGTGCTCTGAGGTTAACCGAGCCAGTTCCTGGGCTACTGTACTTTTCGGGAGAGGAAATGTGCAACACTCAATTTCTTCCAGTATTGTGCCTGCCAGTAGAAACCGTTTTATTCCCCTGTAATAGTATTAGATGTTGTATTTGATAGTTGAAATAACATACATATTTTTCTATATAACAATCGTCATAGGCCCTAAGGTTGGTTGGATTTTTCTTCTTTGGGTAATAAATTTTTCTAAAATGGGAAAGGCCTGTCAAAAAAACTTTAGTATTGAGTGTAATTGATGACAGGTTTCTTGCTGAAATTTAAAGAGGATAAATATCAGTATTTTCTCCCTCTGAATTTAGTTGGTCTTTTTTCCCCAGTATATATTTATAGAGCATGTGACATATATCAGGCATTTAGGCACTCTTGAAAGAACAGCAGGTATTTCTATTTTTGTAATATAGGTCCTAGCTTGTTCATTATTCTCATGGACAGTTCTCTCAAGTGGACTAAAGTAGACAGGAATATTTTCATTAGACACCCTTCAGTTCAATATAACTATTTGCTGTTTGTATGAATGGAACTCTCTCCATTGTGTCCTAACTTTTGGGTGCTCAGGAGTCAGTGTAAAGTAAGTTTTAGGGAGGCAGCACAGAATGGTTCTTTAGAGCATGTGGTTCAGTCTCAGGGATCTCTGGATTATTTATTTATTTATTTATTTATTTTGAGAGGTTTTTGCTATAGGTTGCTTGCGCTCACCACAAAGACAGAGAGAGACAGAGAGCCAGAAAGCGAGAAATCACCCCCACGGGGGGATGGACACACCACCATCCCTTCTCCTCCAGGGGGATGGACCCTCCACCATCCCTTCTCCTCCATTCTCCTCTCGGGATCTTGGGCACGCACACACATGCACCTGGCATGAATTTAAGCCACCAGGTCCGGGACTGGAACCACGGTCAACTACGTGGGAGTTCAGCAACACAGCCATTACACTAACTTCTGGTCCCATACATGTCTGGATTTGAATATCCAGTCCTCAGCTTATTACTTGTTCCCCCTGAGTAGCAGCAAGCTCTATGGAATGGGAAGAATAATAATAACACTTATTTTATATAGTTGATAAATTAAAATGAAACTCTTTTACAAAGGACCCTTTCTTTTTTGTTAGCAAGTTCATTTTTAAGAACAAAATGGTGGAAGAAAGAGAGCTTTACATTGGCTGAGACATACAAATTAGGATTGTTTTATAAGTTCAATGTTTAAATAAACTATGCAATGTTTGAATGAAATTCAGGAACAACTAAGTAAAATTTTTATGAACATATGAGTCAGTGATAAGTGGTGTTGAAAAATGACAATAATTATACTCTTTCAGGTAATTGTAATTGTGTTTGGATTCTATGATCCATTTGCTTCTCTCATATAATGCTTTTCTCGGGGATGGGAGGGTCATAGCTGAGGAATCTGTTTGGACTCTGTAGATTATTATTTTATTAACCCTTCACAACAAATGAATTTGTATTGATTATATATATATATATTGCTCAAAAAAATCTGTGTCCTTGTACTAAACCCAGCTCATTCATCAGAATTTGCAGAATTCATTTCATGTTCCCCAAGGTAAATAATTTCTTTTCCCTTATTGCTTAGATGATGCTGGGTTAAAGATCCATCTGACGCAACAGGTAGACATGGCAGCACAGGTGGCCTCGGGAATGGCCTATCTGGAGTCCCAGAACTACATCCACAGAGATCTGGCTGCCAGAAATGTCCTCGTTGGTGAACATAATATCTACAAAGTAGCAGATTTTGGACTTGCAAGAGTTTTTAAGGTTTTGTGTTAATTACTTTCTGTAATAGATCAAATGCCTAAAGACTAGTAGACCAATAGATGTATGTGATTGTTTAAAACCAAGTTTTCTAAGTTCTGTGGTCCATAGACCACTTTAGTAGCTGAGACCTCATAGAAAACTATCTGCCCATTCTAAGTCTTCACCCAGGATCAAACAAAACAAAACAAAAATCAAACCCAGAAAAAACAATGACAACCAGATAGAAAAGTATGTGATTAAGTTCGTAATTGGATTGATGATCTGTTTTCAGTTAGCCTGTTTGCATGCCTCTGTTTCTCTTACAAAAGCAGTATGTTTTGCACAGCCCTACCTTATCCACCTTTGCTCACTTTATGCCAGACTAATCTACATGCTGCTGGAATTCTTCAGCAATCACTGGCTTTTATCTTTTCCCCAACCTTTTGTGATATCAGTCCAAAAGGCACTAATATAGGAGACATAATGTGAAGTGTGTGGTTTTTTTTTCTCTGAATTTAATTTTAAATTTCGACATCACACCCTAAAAATATGGATATAGGGTATGAAACACAGCAAATAAATGATTCCCTTATGATCCTCATGAATTTATCATTGTTTCTGTCTATAAATTAGTTAAAGCCCCAGTGAGTTGACATATTAATTTAAATCATTTGGATCCATCTTTTCTGTATTAGCAAGTGGTTACATGGTGATTATCAAAGTGAGTGTCTTTTCAATATCAGCTGTAAATCAAAAAACAGACAGGTCCCCCCTCCCCCCCAAAGGCCAGATATGAAACCAGAATCATCAGCACATAGTAGGTTCTCAGATGGTATTTTATTAATGACTACTCACAGATTTTTCAGTCTTGTATTACCAGATTCAGAATATGCTACTGTAATTATCAATTGAACTAAGCTCATTTCTTTACTCTGTTACCTCTACATTATAATGTAAAGCAAGTTATAAATGAATGAGGGTAGAAAAAAAAAATCACTTGAACTTGGCTTGATTCCTTAATGTTTTAACAGGTAGATAATGAAGACATCTATGAATCTAAACACGAAATAAAGCTGCCAGTGAAGTGGACTGCACCTGAAGCCATTCGTGCTAATAAATTCAGCATTAAGTCTGATGTGTGGTCATTTGGAATCCTTCTTTATGAAATCATTACTTATGGCAAAATGCCTTATAGTGGTAAGTAATTAATTCTGAAGTGGGCCTTTCTGCTGCAGGTCACTTACTTAGGTGTGACTTTAACTGCTTTGCCCAGACTTAGAGGGCAGAGTTATGAGGCTGACCACACATGTGCCTGTGGGAGCTGGAGAGATAAAATTTGATGATGATAATTTGCATTAATGAGGTGGTTTATTGCTTCCTTCTCCTTTGCTCCTGAATCGCAGCCTTATAGACAGTCCTTGCTCCAGGATTTAGTTTAATTTCTGCAACCTGTAAAGGAGATGGTAGGCCACAAAGGAAACTGATTTGCTTTGTAACCTGGAGTGAAAGTGCCTAAGAATTTAAGACTCTGATCTTTAACTTGCTTTTTGTTGGCTCAATTTTATATTTTTTAGGTTTCACAGGTGCTCAGGTAATCCAGATGTTGAGTCAAAACTACAGACTCCCACAACCGCCTAACTGTCCACAGCAATTCTACAACATCATGTTAGAGTGCTGGAATGCAGAGCCTAAGGAGCGACCAACATTTGAAACACTGCAGTGGAAACTTGAAGACTATTTTGAAACAGACTCTTCATACAGTGATGCAAATAACTTCATAAAATGAACACTGATAATAAATAACAAACAATGAAGTAGCCAAAACACGACGACTACTACTACTACTAATCAATATGGAAATACAACCTTATCAGCCAACTACAAAATCAGTTTATCCTGACATGTTCAAATGATACTGTAAATTTGGCCATGTTTTTTAAAAAAATGATGATATGTATATTTTATTGACAGGACAATACTGCAGGACAGTCTAAAATGATATATCACTTTCTTATTGTCTGATAAAATCAAACACACTAAACAAAGTTATTTTTCTTTTTAAGAGATACTTACATTCCTATTTATTGTGTGAAATGCTGATCAAGAGAATCAACAAATAATAGTCCATTTTTACTCAGTGACTGTTGCAGCGTTTTCCTGTTTACTGAGTGGAGTGGCTATTCATTATTTCTTGGGTTGCTGAATCCCATCAGGCTGTTATTATGAAGGAATTTGATTGCTTTGCAGCACAGCAGGACCTGTGCTTTGAGATTTTTTTTCTCTTTTAAAATATCCTGTAACTACAATGATAGTAAAGCCATGTTAAATGACTTGATTGTACTTACAGTAATTGCACATTTTCCCCCCAAAGCATAAAAAAAGAAGCAGCTGTGAGAAAAAGAATTAAAGAATCTTAGTCTCTTTCATTTTATAGAAGGAAATGATGGATTTTCTTTTTCTTTTTTTTTTTTTGGTATCTCAGTATGTGTCAACTGAGAATCATCTGCATTAGTTTTAATCTCTTAATGTTAAGAATTCAGGTTGCAAGCTGATGAGTTATTATGTACAGAAATATGTGAGAAACATCTAATAACCCACAAAGCCTGGGAAATGGTTATCAAATAGTTCAGGAAAATAAGATAAGAGCTCCAGGATTACTATGGCCTATGACTTCAGAATAGTTTTTTTGTTTGTTTGTTTTTGTTTTTTTTCAGTACCTTTGCATTGATACAAGAGTTTTAAATTGACTACAAAACAGGTCAATCTCTATCTCAGATTTACTGGCTGGGGATAATGTTTGAACTTGATTATAGAACATTTTTTTAAGTCTGGTAAGACAAGAGCGTTTTTATTTATCTTAAATTTGCATTGATTTTTGCAAGAATCTTATTGTCTTTTTAAAATTTTAATTTTATTTATTATGTTTATTATTATTTTTAAAATTTTGTGAGAAGGCACATGTGCTCACCAGAAAGAGAGAGAGAGGGAAAGTGAAAATGCGAGCCCCTGGGTCCGGAACACAAACCATGGTCGGCCATGTGGAAATCCAGCACCTCAACTACCACCTCCTGGCCCAGAATGTTACTGTCTTAAGCAATGGATATATCAAATTCCCTGCCTCATTAGATGATGAGATAAATGTCAATATTGCTTTAAAAGAAAATATATAGGACTGGTCTTGTGGTACAGGGAAGCCGGATCCCACATGGCTAACTAGGTTTCATCCCAGCTTGACAAACATGCCAGGTGCATGCCCACGTGCCTGGTATCCTTACAGAATGGAGAATTAGAGAAAGGAGGGTCGCAACACCACTAAGCCACATCAGGAGATGCTTCCTCACTCTCTTTCCATTTCTCTGGCTCTCGTGTGCACATGTGCCTTCTGGTCCTCCTATCCCCAAATCACATATATATTCAAATAATTTCTGATGTACAACCATGTGAATGAAACAAGCCAAAAAACAAAAAACAAAAACAACAACAACAAAAAGCAAAATATTTTGAGTTATTCTCTTTATCTTTCTTTAAAGAAGAGTATATCTAGAAACCCTAATTCAAAGTGGATTAAGCAATAAACAAATGTATAGATTCTTTTAACAGAACAGAAAATAGGGAAGGCTTCAGGTGTAATACTGTCAGCAGATAAACATCAACAAAGACCCAAATCTTCTCTAACCCACTCCTGTGCCATCAGTGTTGTCTAATTCTCATGGTCACAAATGGTTGTCAGTGACCACTGGGGCTCCTTGTTTTTTTGATCTAGCAGGAGAAAAGGGGAAACTTCTCTCTGAAACTTGAATAAAAGTCATTCTCCTGTTTCTGTTCAGACAAACTTGGGCCCTATGCTAAGCCCTGACGCAGTCACAGATTTCACGTGAGTGTTTTGTGCCAATTGACTTAGAATTAGTTCTGACACTGATGCTGGGAATGTGGACACCTTCTCTGGAGACAAGTCGGGAGGCTGGCTTATCTGAATAAAAATTAGAGGGTATAAAATCTTGGCTAGGTCTCCATGAAGGAGAAAATCCTCAGATAAATTAGTTGTTAAAATTTACCTATGTATCTGCCCATCTATGTTTCTGTTAATCTATGGTCTCATCGCCCCTCTTCTCTTTCTCATTCTCTTGCTCTCTCTCACTTGATAGATAGCAGGTAGATGAGTGGATGTACTCGAAGTTTTTTGAACACCTTAAACCGAAAAGGGTTTTGCAAAGCTAAAGATCATAGGACCATTTTAATCCTTTATAAACAGAAAACATTTGTAAGATAAAGTCAAAACTAATCTTTGGGATCCGTTTCCAGTGTATAGGACAATATAAATTATTTAAAGTCAATTAGTCTAATGCAATGAGGGATCAAATTATAAATAGCCAGACTTAAAAATGTCTTTAAGTTTGCTTCTTCAGGTTCAGTTCTGTTTGAGTATATATAGAAATGAATGGAAATAGTCACATTTCATTGTGAAAATTTAAGTACTACATAATTTGTCTCTGTAGTAGCTAATAATAAATTTTTAAGTTAGATCTGATTTTGAAGTATTAAAAAAAGGTTAACCTTTCTTGTGTTAATACCACCTGAAATCAGTTTAACTTACTACATTTGATTCTTGGGGACTTTTATGTTCAAGGTTCTGTCAAAGCAATCTATTATTCTTGTTTTTACCTGATGGATCATGGAGAAAAATAATGGATTCAGTTATGAGAAGCGGTAATAGATTTTTTTTTAAACTGACATAAATTTCTCTCCCTGCATAAAATAAAAGGATCAGGAAAAGATAAGTTGAATTTTCCTACAACCAGCCAGTTCTTGTTAAATTTACCTCCCATAAATTGTAGCAAAGCACTTTTTATGTAATGTTTTATTTATGTAATTCAGTTATTTGGAGGTGGTGGTGACAGATGTGAGTGCATCATTTCTTCAATCTCTTCTGATGGAAACTCTTAAGAATTTTTACAATAGGAAAAACATTTAAATTCCATCAAGCCTCCTTTAAGAAGGTAAGGAAGGAAATAGATTCAAATTACCTAAGGTCAAAAGAGGCACAGGATAAAGTCCTAATAGTTGTAGAAGCTAAATGTTTTGGCATAAAAAACAGGATAACGTCCAGGAGACCAGCAATCTGCAAATGAGGCTGTGAGAATGATAGCCATAAAGGATGTCAAAGAACAAGCCTATGGGAAATATCAGGCTGGGCTCATTCTCAGCTTACAATATGTGTTTGCATGGTGACCCCATGCAATGAGGATCCAATGAGCCATGAGAAGTCCAGACTGTTTCCATTCTCTGGTGGCCTACAGGAAACTACTGCCCTTGGAAAGATGCCATACCACCATTCAGCTGGGGCTTCCTGGAGGAAGGGGGCCCAGCTGGTGTTCCATGACTCGTCAGGCATATGCCATGTCTGCAGTCATGTTTCTCATGCTCTAGTTGAGCGTATGATTTCTGGGCCAAAAGCCTTGCCAGTAGTGTGTCACTGGTGACTTACTAAGACTCTTTGGAAAGAAAAATTATATGAACTAGAACAGTGATGATTTGGGTACCTTAGTCAAATATTGTAATGATGTTTTCCCATTGAAAGGTCACTCTTCAAGAAAAATAAATGAGATTTGTTCACTTGTATATTGAAATTGCCTGTGGGCTCATCTAGAAATGTTCGGGTCTTGTATTTTCTGCTACCATTATGGAGAAGTTTTGGTGTATGATCTTCAGTAGGATGCAAAAATTTAGTGTGGTGTGATAAACAAAAACAAACTGGAAAGTTTGGTGAAGAGTACCTATAATTTTTTGAAATTTTGAAAATTTGGCTATAGTGCATGTGGGCTCATCAGAGAGAAATAGAGATAGAGAGGGAAGGAAAGTAAAAGAATCACCATCCCAGTGTGGATGGCCACACTGAAATCCTTTCTATTTCACTCTCCTCATGAGATTTTGGGCATTCATACACATGTACCTGGAGTGCTTTTCAAGCTGGGGGTCCAAGACTTCAACTGCAAAGTCAGTCATGTGGGATCCAGCTACCTTAACTATGATGCCACCAGCTCGGCCTCTATAAATCCTTCAAATCTATGATCCTAGTAATATTTTAATTGTGTCATTCTGTCACTGCCTGCATTGCCTCATTAAATTCAGATTTTTTTCTTTTTATATCAAAGAAATTATTATGGTAGATCTTTATTATTATTTACTACACTTACTTAGAAATCAACGGGAGAACAAAAATAGTACATGAACACTAAGTTTCAGTGCCCTTAACAAGGTTAGCTTTAATCTGTATTTGGATGATACTAGGTACATAGAGGTTATAAAATTAGGTTATAAGCAAAGAGATACCTAATTATTTCTATATACTTTTCTTGCCCAGGTAGTTAATTTATCCATTGGCCATTTAAAGCAATAGATTTCATGTTACATCTTTTTTATTCTCATAAAAATAATCACTGAAATTTTAGACTAGAGAATTTATACTGTTATGAAAGATAAAACTGTTTGGTATTAACCAAGTTAAATTTCATTTTTATAGTCCATAAAATTTCAGAGTAAGGGACCAGCAGTTGGCATAATGGCTACGTCGCTGGATTCCTACGTAGTCAACCGCAGTTTGAGTCTCGAACCTGGTGGCTTAAACTCACACCTGGCGCGTGTGTGTGCATGCCCAAGATCCAGAGAGGAGAATGGAAGAGAAGGGATTGCGGCATGGCCATCTCCTCGGGGAGTGATTTTTTGCTTTCTGTCTCTCTGTCTCTCTCTGTCTTTCTGGTGAACGTATGCGCCCTATAGCAAAAAAAAACTCTCAAAAAAAATTTCAGAGTAAAAAAGATGTCACAGATTTTAATCAATTTTTAAAATCTACATTTAATTATAGATTCAGAAAGTGATAAATAAAGCCATTTAACTAGATTAGTATACTTTAAAATTACCACAGTAAGATTTTGACTCTTAAGTACATATATTTCTAGGGGCCAGCAAGTGGCAGGGTGGTTAAAGTACTGGACTCCCACATGGCTTACTGCGATTCAAGTCCTGGACTCAGTGGCTTCCAAATCATACAGGGGTGACTGGCTGGTGGCATGGTGGTTAAGAATGCTGGACTCCCACATGGCCAACCGTGGTTCAAATCCCGGACCTGGCAGCTTGCTCTCTCACTTTTTCTCTCTCTCTGTCTCTCACACTGTCCCTCTCTGGTCAAATTAAATAAAAATAAATAAATAGCTAAATAAAACAATTTTATTTTTTTAAAAAAGAAAATCACTCAGGACATTTGCATACACATGCATAACATTCTGAGAGGATGAGGAGAAAGGATTGCAGCATGGCCATCCCACCCAAGGGTGATTTCTCACTTTTCTTCTGTCTCTCTTTGGCAAGCATAGACACCTAAAATTTTTTTCTATATTATATATTTTCATATTTATTTTATACAATTACATGTGAATATATATTATACACAATTAATTCATATATATATGAAAACTGTTTTTAAAAGCATCTTTTAAAAGCATCTTGTTATAACCCTATAACTTATCTTGGTTTAAATGCACTATTTAAGTTTTATAAAACTTTCTATTTCTAAATTTTAAAATATATTAATGCAAAGACTTTTCTTAGATATATATTTTACCACAACTTTTATTGTAATTGGATTTATACTGGATTTATTTAATATGGTAATTATATCAAACTGATTATTTTTAACTTGACTTTAAAAAGTTGACTGTTTCAGAAGTCAATTTGATTGTGAATCCACAACGTAAGTTTACTGTATTTCACAGCAAGTAAAATGTCTCCTTAGTTGACTAAATTAAGAGTTTGCATTTGGCACTGGCCCTGTAGTGCAGTGGTTAGGGATTGTGCCTTGGAAGCTAGATTTTCATATAGCTGATGGGGGTTAGAATTC